AAAGGATACTCAAAGTACGTATTGTAGATACACTGTGATCTGATGAGGAAAATCTATACTGTAACTTGCAAATGTTAAAATGACTGACCCAATTCATTTTAGACATTTTTGTACTAACGTCTTCCTTCGAATTGATGGATTCGAATGAAATCAGAAAAAAAGGTTTGAGACACATATGAGAGAAACGTCGTTTGAATCGGCGTGCTTCTAACTTAGACAATGCTTCATAGTTAATCAGCTCCGGAGATAAAGCTTATCGCTTTTTCGGTTATAATTGTATTGAATCTCAAGGAGCTCTTTCCCAATTGAATGTTCGGACGCATGTCAATACTTTTACGTAAGTTTTTGTACATTGAGTGTCCTCTAGGGTCAGCTAAATACGGAAAGCATGCTTCATGGATTACTCACGGCTTGATGAAGTCGTGTAAGAAAAAGAAGGGGCTCAACAAGAAAGCAACAAGATCTGGCCGACAAAAGTCATGGAGGCGTACTGCTCCATAAACAACTTACTAAAAATGCTGGCAACTCTTCCCGGAGGGAACACATTAATAAGATCTCTAAGATCTAAAGATCTCTGGGATCCGAAATCGTTTTAGATCTACCTCTCATCGGCCAGTATAGGATCAAACAAGCTAACCTCCCTCAAAGTGAATGATGTAACCATGAGAGAGGATTCAAATATTGCCGAAAACATGAATTTTACATCCCATGATTATACAGACAATTTTATGTATAACAATGTCTGGGATATTACTGTTGGCTCGTTTGCAGTGGAACTAAAGACGAAAGGCACTTGGTATATCTTAATTTTTGTTTTGCTTTGTTTTATTTATTAATTCTATAATCGGAATCCTATTTATTTTCCAACAATGATGTTTGTTACATACTATCATAATTTTTTAAATTCTGTTTTTGTTTGTTTGTTTGTTTTTAATTACGGTTTTCCTGTCAACCATTCAGATTATTAATACGATTTCTGCCATGGGTGCTAATGTAATTCAAATTTCTGTCCTTCCCCTATTCAAATGAGCATATTTTCCTCTTAAGTGTTATTTAATAGAGTAAATGTCACGTCAGGCGTTTTCTACATAAGTCCCCTTAGACTACTTCCTTGGAAAACAAAGTATCTTATGTTCTTTCTGTTTAATTCAGAGCCTTCTGCTCCTCCCACGAACGTCGCTGGACAAATCATCAGCTCAACCAGCATCTCAGTCACGTGGGATGAAGTTCCAGCGGCTGAACAGAATGGTATCATCACAAATTACAATATTAGCTATCACTCACTGACAGAGAAACACAGTAGCAGTGCAACAGTGGATTATGTCGCCCGCCAAATGACTCTGACTGGTCTAAGAGAGTTTGTTAACTACAGCATCACGGTGTTTGCATCTACAGTAGTGGGAAACGGACCAGCCAGTGATCCTATTATTGTCAGTACTAGCGAGGACAGTGAGTAATTTTGCTTTTAGTTCGATGTATTAACATAATATTTCAGATGATAACGAGAGAAAGAAATGTAAGTCACATTTTATCCCCTTCCTTCAAAGGGATAAAGGGACAGAGAAAATGATAAAAGCTAAAAGTGAATGAAACAAAATGATAATCTATGCTGGTTTAGCAATATCTGGTGGTAAGATAGAGTCAATCATTTATTGTATACAAGATATATACAAACTTTGCTTATTCATTTTAGAGCCTTCTGCTCCTCCTGCCAATATACGAGGACATAACACCAGCTCAACCAGCATCTTAGTAGAGTGGAGAGAGGTTCCACCAGCAGATCAGAATGGCGTCATTTTAACTTACACCATTAGTTATCAGTCACTGACACAGAATGACATCCGTAGTAAAACAGTGGCTTCTACAACAAAAATATTGAATCTAACAGGCTTGAAGAAGTTTGTTTACTACAACATCACATTGTTTGCATCTACGGTGAAAGGAAATGGAAAAGCCAGCGATCCTATTTTAGTTATTACTGACCAGGATAGTGAGTGGTATTTTTTCTCTCTCTCTCTCTCTTTTTTTTTTTTTTTTTTTTGGTTGATCAGTCATTTTCAGATCCGGAAGGGTGTTAACTGAACCCTTCTTTTTGTTATGGCAAGGTTGCGACCATTCTGAATTACCCAAACCTTTATTAAGAGAGGGAAACACCGGAACCCTCTTTAACCCTTCTGAAATATTTAGATTCCTTTCTCGTGAACTTTCCTTTCAGAACCTTCTGCTGCTCCTTTAAATGTGAGAGGACATAACACCAGCTCAACCAGCATCCTAGTAGAGTGGGACGATGTTCCAGCTTTTGATCAGAATGGTATCATCACGAGTTACAAAATTACTTACCAGTCACAATCAGAGAATCACAATGGGAGTGATATAGCTGGCCCCAATGACCGTCAAAAGGAATTAACAGATCTTAGAGAGTACGTCAACTACGATATCACAGTACGTGCCTCGACTTCGAAAGGAGATGGACCAAATAGTAGTCCTGCTATTGTTTTTAGAACAGACCAGGATAGTAAGTAGTGTTCTTGAACAACCCATCTTGTCCACGTTTAAGACTGATGTTTGTGTTTACCTTCCAGTTATAGCTTTTTAAGTCGAAAAGAATGTAAAGTGGGTCTTTAAAGAAAGTAATTGCCGTGTGTTATTACAATGTGGAAGATAAAAATTATATGAATAAGAAGACCCCTTTCCTCAAGCTAATTTTTTTTTAATTCAAATCTCGGAAAGATCGAAATGAACATTGATTTGTAAGTTATCTTACTTTATCTTTTTTATGGGCGTCTTATTATTCAGCTTTATTTCAAAAGTTAGACAACTTGAGAAATTTGGAAATCTCGCAGTAAATGGGGCGCTATGGCGCTGTTGTCGTCCCTTTTCAAGAAACTTAACGCTTCGAAGAGGCTACTCTATCACGTTTTCTTTGTAGTTCCCCTTCAAACAAAGTCCCTAAGTTATGAACAGACGTTTCTTTTTTCTTTAACTTCAAGTTACCACTCAAATATTGAATGCTGTTTCCTAATCTTTCTGCTGAGAACCGTCTGCATCTTCTGATTTGAAGGATTAATTAGGCTAGCCTTAAGTGTTAATGTGACAGTCTGACCGATGACGTTAGAGAAAATTAAGTTCAAAAAAGTTAATTTTTTTGCTGAGAGTCAAGGTAACTAATCCAGTTTTAGTGCGGATTGTAATGGAATCTCTTAATATGTCTCTCTCTCTCGGGTTAAGAGCCACCTTTGACTGGGATGAACTTTATCTTTTTTAGCACACCAAAAATTTTGTAAATTTCGTCAGTTCTAATCTTTATCAATCCTCGCCATCTGTTATAATCTTTGTTTTTCTTTTGGGTTTTTTCTTACCCTTTGGTGTTTTTCTGAAGCAAAACTATCTCTTTCAAAATATCCATTAATTTGCTTTACGAACGCAACTCTATGACCCAGCAAATGGCTTTCATTATCTTAACGAAACGCCGCTAACATGATAAAGATATGAAATGAATTTTTACAAACGATTTTTAGGACCCAGTGGGGCCCCTTTGAACTTACGTCCAATCAATACGACTTCAACAAGCATATTTGTCATGTGGGATGAGGTTTTGCCTGATGAACAGAATGGTATCATAATTAGTTACAACGTCAGCTATCGGGCGATACCAGAAGCTGGATCTGCTGGGCCCTTTTTTTCGAAATTAGTTACGGCTCCAACAAGGCACGTGAACCTGACCGGCCTAACAAAGGATATGCATTACAACGTCAGTGTGTTGGCCTCTACAATCAAGGGCAAAGGGAGTTACAGTAACCCAGAGACGTTTAGAACAAACGAAGACAGTAAGTCCGTATTTTTCAATAATGTGACCTTTGAAAATAAACTCACGCGATATAGCTTTCTGTTGATAATTACAAGTTGCGACGACATCAAAAAGATCAGGTCGGGTCCACTCTTTTTTCTTATGAATACAGTCACATACTGGTTAAATCCAGCGGGAGATGTACGTTGGGGAGTGATACCATGTATGTGGAAAAATATTTTTGTCAGGCGGGACTTACCTACACCGAAGCCAATAGTAATGGCTTCTTAGCTACGAAACCTTGAGAAAATCTATTTTTCTTGACCCTTCTTACTAAGATCGAACATGCTTTAATGC